AAGCACGTTGCGCATTTCAAGAAGCTTGTACAAGACCTACGCGAGAAGACGAGAGAGACCAAGGCGACATCAGGGGGAGAATGTAGCGACCAAAGGACCTAACTAATGATGTCGCGACGTCGAGTGTGCGTGGTCTGTAGAAGTCGGCAGCTAGCCGCACCCGCACCCGCGACATGGCAGCTAGGCGCACCCGCATCCGCGACACGGTCGCGTGAGTACTGCATAGCGATCTTTAGCTAGAACGATTTAACGATGACAATTGAATCACTTCCAAATTTCCTCTGCGCTATCAACTCCCTACAGCACTACTAGTCGCCGCTACCGCTGGAATTCGGGCTCCCAAACTCACCAACCAACCATCCTTTCGCATGGTTGAGTCAGCTCTGGGTACCCAGAACACGCAGACTGAGCCAGTGGCAGGAAATTGGACCGGCTTGCTGAGGGATTCAGGGCAGACGCAGCTCGCGGCATAGCGCCTTCGTCGTCCGCAAAATCACGCGATTTATCACCTCGACGGTTCCGTTGGCCCACAGGTAGTAGTGTGTGCAAGCTTCCGTCCGAGGCCTTAGATGACCTCGTTCATGAAGTGACTGCCACAATCCAAACAAATGTGGACACAACGACAAATGACATAAACCATTCCATCAGAGCAACCACGGTGATGTCAGCTGTCGCAGTTGCGCTGGGATAGATCATTACAATGCCACTCAATCCGCCTTTGACGACGAGCACCTTGCTTGGTCCATTCGCGACGGCTGGTAGGGACAGCCAGTTGAAGTGGGCGAGCACTTTGGGCTTGGTGGTGTGCATCGCCTGGCTCAGTTGCCTCGGCACCATCCTCCCCTTGACAGAGATACTATGTAGAGAGCCTGGACGGAGACATTGATGTCGGCGGCCATTTCAAGCACTTACTTGAGCGCATGGAGTGTTGACTTGACCCCACGATGCCTACTCAGCCCTGCATGCACTATCACGCACAGACAAAGTTGAAGGCCTGTAGCCGAAGGCAGGATTCAAATTCGTTCCATGTTGGTCAAGAAAAACTGGCGATCATCCCTCCACGTGACTGTATCCAGTCGGTCTTTGTCTGCGGCCTGTTGGCATTTGACAATCAACATTTGTCGGCCACACAAAGCCCACATGTTATCGCGACGACACAGTATTAGCTTGTACCCTGAGACGGCTGCGACGGTGGACTCATTTTCCCATCTGCTTAGCAGACCACTCACCCCAGACATTGTCCTTACCACCGATACACTCAATTGTGTATGGACACGTGGCCAAGATGAGGTCACAAAGCTGCAATATGAGCGCTTGGTAGCGTGCCAATTTGCCCGTGACTCCATAACGATCGAACATGTTCGTCAGGTGACTGTCGTCCGTGAAAAGACAGAAACCACTCGGGCAAAGCAGAAGGTTCTTTAGAAGGTTGCAAGCTTCGACAATGGCAAATTATTATTTCTCTACGATCGGCCATCGTCCTGAACACCCTTGAAAATGCAGCTGACGAAGACGACCGGTTTGTGCTCCTGCTCGCTCATCGCCAGAGCGATGTCGTCAATTGGCAGAGCTGCTGAGCTTCGATGTCGACCCAATGGCGGTCGCCCGCGTAGGTGTACAACAGGCCATTTGATATGCATCAGGGTGGGCAAGCGGCACCAACGCAGTCTTCACATTGTCAAAGAATGTTTCATTGTCGCTGCACCACCCGACTGCACTAAAGGAAACTTTGGCAAGTCGCGTTTTACGGTGGCCAGCGCGGCGGCGTCGAGGATCTTGAGTAGTGACGACACCAGCTCGGCACAGGCAGGGAAGTTGGTGCACCCACTGCAACCAATTGGTAGCTAATACAAATGTTGCAGATCAGTTGCATCGGTGGGGTGGGGTAGTTCACCGGTCCTTGTACATGGTGTTCTCGGCTTGGCCTCGATGTCGACTGCACGTGCGAATGTGTGTGCAGCCGAGCAATGGTCCTGGTTTGCCAGGA